TATCAGATTTTGCTCTCTATTTCTCTTCTATTTCTCTTTTTCTTTCTAAAGATCAGATAGTTATGTCAGAGACTTCTCACATATGTTTGCTATCTTGTTAGGTGGATGAAATATATACGACATTAATTATCTCTTATTTTATGTTCTCTTTTATGATATGTTGATGTATATCGACATGTTTAGTTCGAACATAGTGAACTGAATTATTTTCAAAGCTAATTGTAGACAGATTGTCAAAATACATTTATGGGAGTAGAATTTTTAATCTCTAACTCTTTTAGAACACGTGCCATATTTATTCACATATTCCTAGTTTCGTAACCTTGAATTTTGCCTCAATGCTGTTTTACGCTACAACTGGTTGTTTCTTACTCAGCTATGTTACTAAAACCTTCCATAAATATGACCAATATCCAAAAGTTGATCTTCTGTCCATGCCAAATCCTACCTAGTCAATATAAGTGAATATCTCTACATCTCTTCTTGTGGTTTTCTCATAGAGCAATCATTCCTACTGTTATTTTTAAGTACCATGAAATTCAATTCTTAACCCGTAAATGTTCTCTAGTTATGTTATTTATGAATTGACTTACGATATTTACTACAAATTCGATATCTGGCCTAATCTATGAGAGATAGATTAACTTTCCAACCAATCTCTGATATTGTCCTCTGTTTACTAAAGGACTTTCTCCTTGTGCTTTGGACCTGATATTTGGTTCCATTAGAGTGTCTGACGGTTTATACCCACTCATTCATGTTTCCTTCAACAAGTTAACTACATACTTCCTTTGTGATACTGTGAGTCTTTTCCTAGATCATGTTACTTCCACACTAAAGAAGTACTTTAATTTCTCGAGTTCTTTGGTATCTAATTCTAGGGCAAGTGTTCTCTTGAGTTTTGAAATTTCTTCTTCCTCATTTTCAGTTAACACTATATCATCTACACAGACAATAAGTACAACAATTTTTCCTATCTGTGAGTACTTCATAAATAATGTGTGATCTATTCGATACTGTGTGTATCCATTGAATCAATCGAAACCATGCTCTAAAAGATTGCTTCAATCAATAAAGGGTTACTTCAACTTATAGACCATATTTATATTATCCCATGTCTCAAAATCTAGAAAAATATCTATGTAAACTTCCTTTGCAATTTTTCCATCTAAGAAAGTATTCTTCACGTTAAGTTGTTAAAGTGGTCAATTAAGGTTTGCTATCAATGATAAAAGTACCGAATTGTGTTTAACTTTGCAACATTGCAAATATTTCTTGGTAGTCAATACCATATGATCGTGTGAATCCTTTAACAATTAGCCGAGCTTTTAACCTATCAACTCTCCTATCGGCTTTACACTTCATAGTGAAAACCTACTTGCAACCTATTGTCTTTTTTCTTTTAATAATTTTGTGAGTTCTCATGTACCATTTTTCTTTAGAGCCTTCATTTCTTCGCACACACCTATCTTTCAATCTAGAATACTCATGACTTCCGAAATTGTCTTAGGAATCTGAGTATTATCTACCCTTGTAACAAATGCTTAAAATTGAGGTGATAATCTTGTATATGATATAAAACTGCATGAAGGATGATTTACACACGATCTTACCCCTTTTCTTAGGCGATGGATGATCTTCTCAAGTTGCATCACTTCTAATATGGTCAAGGCTGGAACCTTTGTTTAGGGTCAATATTTGGCTATGCTCAGTATTGGAAGTTGCTCAGGTTCTAGAATTTTTGACCCATGCCCTGGAATTGGTTCATATAATGAAACAAAGTTTTTCTGAATCAGCAATAATTCAATAGTTAAGTTTAGTAATCTTCCCTCATTCGATCCCCCCCCCTCTCCTCGGCCCCCTGCTTCCTCCCAAAATTGAATTTAAGATTCAGGATAGAAAGGTTGTTATTCAAAAAAAAGTCACATTCATTGAGGTATAAAATCATACAGGTTGCGGGGGAATAGCATTTGTATCCCTTTTGGTTTGGAGTATACTCTAAAAATATGCATTTTACTGATCTTAAATTCAATTTGCCAGAGTGTTATAAGTGAATGTGAACAAATGCAATGAATCCAAAGAGTTTTAGTGCGATTAATGAAATGGTCCTGCTATGTTGGTAAGTTGTGAGTAATTTCTGAATTCGTGTAGTAAATTTTAGTACTTAAGGCATTCTATTGATGAAGGAAATTACTTCCCCTCAGAAGTGGTTTGGCACATTTGTTGAATAAATAAGTGACCTGACTACCTCAAGGATATGACGATTCTTTCTTTCAGATAACCAATTTGTTGAGTTGTATCAACAAATGAACTCTGACGTATAATATCTTAGTTTTTTAGGTAACTTCCAAGAGTTAGTTTGAAGTATTCCTTTGTATTCTAAGAATTTGAATTTTTGTGTGAAATTAGATTTAGAATTCTTTTGTTGAACTTTTGAAATATTTTCTCAACGTCAGACTTTCTCTCATCAGGTAAACCCATGTAACTTTAGTATGATTATCTACAAACAAAACAAGTCATCTAGCCGTGGTAATTTTTTTTTATACTTGATGGTCTCCATACAGCACTGCAGATTAAGGACAATGAGTCGGACTCTTTATAAGGTTGAATTTGGCAAGTGCTCAGCCATGTTGTACAAACTGACATATATCACACTATAAATTTTTAAAACTTTTATTGAATAATGAAGGTAATCCTTTACTAAAGTTTGGATGCCTAAATCTATAGTGCCACAACATGATTCCACTATCACTATAAGAAGTAAAACAGGAAAAATAGAGGATAGATACTCTCGAGTGTGGATATAGAGTTCTGAGTGTACATTAGCATTACTAATCTTCTTGAGTTTACTAATTCCCCAGTGCTTTAGCTCTAATACCAAGAGTCCTTAATGTACATTAGCATTGTTCGTCTTTCTTGAATTTAGTTCCTGAAATTTAAAAAAGTTTGAATAAAATTTAGCAACAACTCTCAATTCTTGGTATTCTAACCACCTAAAATGTACTAACTGACAATAAGTGCAACTTAATTTAGGAACATAGAACACATTACTTAAATTTATGTTTTTGGATAAATGCTCAGTAGCTATTTCAACTACCTTTGGTAGATACTCGCCTGAAATTCTGATATTGATTTGCTTATGGGATGAGCTATATGGTTTAAACAATTTCAAATTACTAGTTATGTGAGCTGAAACTCCAGAGCCAGTGATCCATGCATTGGTTGAATTTTGGAGATTAGATGGGTATTAGAAAATTTACCTCAGTGGGAAGCAGATCTAGTGCCTACTACTGGATTATTTACTTGATGATTACTCAATAAATTTCTCAAGTACTTCATCTACTTTTTACTAAAAACCAATTTCTCTTTTTGTTGCTCACCAGCTAAGCTTCCATGGCTAGGTTTTCTCTCAACTCTGTTTCTAAATTTCCTTTTGTTTCTTTTCCTCCTTGATTCCAATTTTGTTTCCAATTCGGTGGCTTTCCACAAAGCTTCCAACAAATAATCGCATCACAACTTTCCGTTTTTCTGTTTCGTCTCTTGTTGAAGTGGCTGATTCTTTTGAGTAAAAAGTTCTGAAGTTTTAGGAATCTGAGTATGTGTTGGATTCTTGGGCATGATTTTCTTTCAGCTCTCTTCCACGGTCACTTTTGTAAACGCTTAACAGAGACTGAGACTTGGTCTCTCTCCCAGGATTCTTCCTCGGCATCACCTAGTTCCTTGTTAAGGCCGAGAAGAAATTTGGACAGCCTCTTCTTCTCAGTTATTGTCCGATACTGAAGATTTTCTTCTTAGTAGTGTCATCATTGCTTTTCATACACGTCAAGTTGTTGCAAGTTCTTTGTCAACACGTTTAAGTACTAGGTCCCCTCAGGTCACATTGTTGCAAGTCGTGAAGGATGTTTTCTATGACAAAGAGTTCTGAGGAGTTATCTTTTTTGGAAAATGTTTTACGAGCTGCATTACAGATTTCCTTAGCTGTCTTGAATAGGAGGAAATTCTCTCCTATTTCATTTGTTATTTAATTGACAAGCTAAGACATTATCATATAGTCTTTGACTTTCCAAGTTCGGTATTTTGGACCATTCATGGCCGGTGGATTAGTGGCTCTTATAAGGTGGTCATCTTTCCCTTTCTTGTACCCGAGCATCATGACAGACTGCAACCAAAGAAGGTAGTTTTGGCTATTTAACTTGTGTCTGGTGATGGATATCATTGGATTATCCATCCCATTGTTCCTGATTGGAATAGTTTCTGATGAATGCATGACTTCTGGCTTCCAGGTTTGAAGATGGCTAGCCATGTCATACTTCGGCATTCTTGATATTCTAGGTTAGTTGGAACAGAGAATCATGCTCTGATACCACGAAGAAAGCTATAAATTCTATCCCATGGTTTCCTTCTTTACTATTACATTATTTATAGGGTTGGATACCAAATCAGCATCCTTCAGAAATAGGACAGAAAGTATACTTATTAAAGGTTTAGAAAACTTCCCTCTATCTAGGATTCTAATATCAAATCTATATCCTATTTTTTTCCTAGGCTTTCTCCTAATATCTCTGCACAGTGGAATCATCTTTTAGCATTTCTGCATAGAAATTTGTCAGGAAGTAACGTAACCCGAAAAAAACTGGCGAAGGATACTTACCATGAAATAGAGGAACGGGAAAAGAGAGGATATTGGCAAAGCTGCAAAGAAATTGAAATGAAATAAGTTCCCAGATAAATAGGTAGGAAAAGCAAGATACAGAATGGCGCCAATAGTACTGTTTGGAAATTCTTTTTAGCAACTATTGACATTTAAAGCTGTTAGCGTATAGTTTAGAGGATTACAGCATGATATATGTATATGTACATATAAATATATGTTTTTTTTACTTCGTAATCAATTGAAAACAGCAGTCTACCAAACAGTAGTCCCTTTTAGGAAAAAAAAAGAAAAAGGCAAATTGCCGAAGAGACAAATGGGTATTATTAATTTACCTGAAGTTTTCTCATATACATAGTTGTGATTCTCATCCATGTCTATTCTGGAAGATACCAATTAAGAAAAATGAAGTAGACATCGACACTTCTGTTGTTTAGTTTGGGTGTAAAGATAAAGATAACAAACAAACACTTTTAAATCAGTGATCATAAGCTGACAAGTGATTATTATTTTTTTTTTCCCCATACGCATGCGTTTCTTGAAAAAGGATATGGTCGATAAACATGTCAGATTTTAAACAAAATCGCGAGTGTTCGGAAGAGTTGACTATAAGGATGTAACTCATTACAGTTTTGACAATTGGCTGATGAGAGCAAGCCGGGGATTGGAATAGAACTGGAGTGAGATTTTTAGCGAAAAGCATATGGTGTTGCTCAGCTGTTTTAAAAATAATTTGGGCAAAAGAATTGGGAACTTACAGTTTTCATGGATATATAGAAACTTTATAAGCATGTATCATGTATATCTGATGTTTATGTGTGTGCGTATACATGCATATCTGAATATACATATATATATATATATAGAGGGAGAGAGAGAGATATAGAGAGAGAAAGAGAGAAGGTACCGGCACAAAGAACGACGAGGGATACGTAGAAGAAAAGTTTGAGAGGAATAGCAGGATTGGTATCTTTGAACTGGTCAACCTTACAACCAGGACAGTTCTCGGAGTAGTGCCTCTTCAGCAGTGTTTCTCCGATCTCCGGCATTGCTGTTAATTTGGGAAAAATGCAACCAAGCACCTCAGTTGTTTTGGAAACGGCGGCCTAAAAAGAAACTGGAAATTTACCAGTTTGGTTTAATTACGGCGTACAAGGAGAGTCAGAGACGACAACTGTTTCGAAAGAGAGAGAGAGAGAGTCGGCACGGCACAAAAAGACGGAAAATCACATGAGGCAATAAATGTCGAGTGAGATAAAGATAAAAATATATACATATGTTAATGTGATATATCAACCTTTAATTAGAGATGTATATATATATATATATATATATATATATCAAACTGGAACCCATAACTTATGTAGAGAAGAACTACATCCAACTGGTGCCGTCAAGTTGAGTTATACGTACGTTAATAAGTGAGACATGGAATAAAAATATATACATATATTAATAATATAAAATATAAAACGCATTCATACCATAACTTATAAACTTATATGAGAAAAATGTAATCAACTCATCCAACTTTATATTTTATGATTGAAGGAGTTAGTTAGGACAAATAAAAAATTATGATTTGCAAAATTAATAATTCTAGTCAATGAATTATTAGTTACATTTCGTTATCTGGTTATTATTTTTTAATTAGAAATTATTCATTTCAAAAGTTATTCTCTGATACAATTTTTAGTTTTATTTTTTATAAGGTTAAAAGGATTATAATGAATTTAATAAAAAAAAAAAGTATTTTGTTTTATCAAAACCATGTAGAAAAACACCCCAAAAAAAAATTGAAATAAGACAAAATTTACATCAAAATATTTTTTTAAAATAAATTCAATTCCTAGTATATTTTAAATTTATTATTTTTTTATATCATTAAGTAAGTTATAACAAAAATTTACTTTTTTTTGTTAATAAATTTATTTAGAAATCATACTTTAAAATAATTTTTTAAAATTAAAATTATATTATGAAATTAAATTTACATACACACATAATTATATATATACACACATGGAAATCAATCAAAAAATTCTTTGCTCAAAATATCAAAAATATCCCTTGAAATATACCGAAATATTCAAAATTCTCCGTGACCTATTTTTTTTATTAAGTTTCTTTAATTTTAAAAAATGGGACAAAATTCTCCACTTTCGTTAAGGTTAATAACACAGTAAATGACATGAACAAGTCATATTATGTTCGTTCCAAATTTACTAACATAGCATCTATGTCGACAATAAACCTTTTAACCCTTTTTTTATCCACCCAACTTAGTGTTTTTTTTA